CCGCTCCCCTTAGAGTGCTGAAACCAGCGAATCGCCTGAGACATCCTCCAAATCTGCTCCGAAAGCGAAACATGTTGGAGGAGAAAAAAGCAAAACCGTCTGACACATCCCCACAATTACTCGACGCGGGGCTCCCCATATGTGCATCTCATTCTCTTGGTACGTCTTTCTCTTGATATCTGCCAATGAGCGCCTGTGTGCGAGGGTGAACCGCTCGCTCAAGACACTCCCACAGTCTGCAAGCATGAATGCGACAAATCGCAAATCTGAGAGCGACTGATTCTGAGTGTGAGTTAATATGGGTGCGATTGAGCCTGGGTTTGAGTGGGTATGCGTGTGAGCGAAGATGATCGCGAGTGCGTCTGTGTGCGAATGGGTCTGAGTATGGACGAATCTGAGTGTGAGCCAGTCTGTGATTGAGCGGATCGTAGCAGGATGGGTCTGAGCATGAGTGAGTCTGGGCTCGAGTGGGTCTGAGTGTGAGAAAAATGTGTGTTAATGAATCTGAGTGCGGGTGAGCCGAGTGTGATTGGGCATGGATGTGAGGCAGTCTGAGTGTGAGTCGGTCTGCGTTTGAGCGGACCGAAGGATGATGAGTCTGAGCAGGAGCGAGTCTGAGTATGAGTGGTTCTGAGCGTGAGTCTGGGTGTGGGTAAGCTTAAGTATGGGTATGAGCGAGTCTAAGTGCGAGTGAGCCTGCGTGTGGCTGGGTCTGGATATGAATGAGTATGAATGCAGAAGCGTGAAGGAGAGCGGGGGGCGAAGGAGAGTGAGGCGGAAGCGTTTGAGTAAAACCTGAAGTTTTGGAACATCGAACCTCGATCGTCTGGCCCTGGTTACTCGAAAGCCCACATCCTCCTCCTCCTCCTCCTCCCCCTCCTCCTCCTCCTCCTCCTCATCATCATCATCATCCTCCCCTTCCTGCTTCTGCTCCTACCGTGTTCATGCTGTCCTCCGTCTCCTCTTCCTCCGCCTCCTCCTGGTCCTCGTTTTCTTCCTCCTCGCTTCCTCCTTCTATTCCTCCTCCTCCTCCTCCTCCTCCTCCTCCTCTTCCTCCTCCTCCTCCTCCTCGGGGGTGCTGAAACCAGCGGATCGCCTGAGACATCCTCCCAACATTGCTCCGAAAACGACAGATGCCCAGCATCATAACGGCCAAGCCGCCAGAGACATCCCCGCACACTGGGCGTGGACGTCCTCCAACTTTGCTCCGGCGGCGAAACATGTTGAAGAGAAAATGGCCAAACCGCCTGGGACATCCCCACAACACCCCACGAAAGGGGCCGAATGAAATACCACCCCGCCGCTCCCCTTAGTGCTGAAACAAGCGAATCGCCCGAGACATCCTCCACATCTGCTCCGAAAGCGAAACATGTTGGAAGAGAAAATCGCCAAACCGCCTGAGACATCCCCACAACACCCCGCGAAAGGGGCCGAGTGAACTACACACCCGCCGCTCCCCTTAGTGCTGAAACCAGCGGATCGCCTGAGACATCCTCCAAGCCTGCTCCGAAAGCGAAACATGCTGGAGGAGGAAATGGCCAAACCGCCTGAGACATCCCCACACAATCCCGCGAAAGGGGCCGAGTGAAATACCACCCCGCCGCTCCCCTTAGGAGTGCTGAAACCAGCGAATCGCCTGAGACATCCTCCAAATCTGCTCCGAAAGCGAAACATGTTGGAGGAGAAAAAAGCAAAAACGTCTGAGACATCCCCACAATTACTCGACGCGGGGCTCCCCATATGTGCATCCCATTCTCTTGGTACGTATTTCTCTTGATATCTGTCAATGGGCGCCTGTGTGCGAAGGCGAACAGCTTGTCGAGACATTCCCACAGTCTGCAAGCATGAGTGCGACCAATAGCAAATCTGAGAGCGACTGGTTATGAGTGCGAGTTAATCTGGGTGCGATTGGGCCTGGGTTTGAGTGGGTATGCGTGTGAGTAAATATGGGCGCGAGTGCGTCTGCGTGCGAGTGGGCCTGAGTATGGACGAAACTGAGTGTGAGCCAGTGTGTGATTGAGCGGATCGCAGCATGCTGAGTCTGAGCATGAGTGAGGCTGGGCTTGAGCTGGTCTGAGTGTGAGAAAAATGTGTGTTAATGAATATGAGTGCGAGTGAGCCGAGTGTGATTGGGTATGGATGTGAGGCAGTCTGAATGTGAGTCGGTCTGCGTTTGAGCGGACCGAAGGATGATGAGTCTGAGCAGGAGCGAGTCTGAGTATGAGTGGTTCTGAGCGTGAGTCTGCGCGTGAGTAAGTTTAAGTATGGATATGAGCGAGTCTAAGTGCGAGTGGGCCTGCGTGTGGCTGGGTCTGAGTATGAGTGAGTATGAGTGCAGAAGCGTGAAGGAGAGCGGAGAGCGAAGGAGAGTGAGGCGGAAGCGTTTCAGTAAAACCTAAAGCTTTGGAACATCGAACCTCGATCGTCTGGCCCTGGCTACTCGAGTTGCCCACGTCCTCCTCCTCCTCATCATCATCATCATCATCATCAGCATCATCATCATCCTCCCCTTCCTGCTTCTGATCCTACCGTGTGCATGCTGTCCTCCATCTCCTCCTCCTCCTCCTCGTCCTCTTCCTCCTCCTCCTCGCTTCCTCCTCCTCCTCCTCCTCCTCCGCCTCCTCTTCCTCCTCCTCCTCCTCCTCCTCTTCCTCCTCCTCCTCCTCCCCCTCCTCCTCCTCCTCCTTGGGAATGCTGAAATCAGCAAATCGCCTGACACATCCTCCCGCAACTGCTCCGAAAACGACAGATGCCCAGCATCATAACGGCCAAACCGCCTGAGACATCCCCGCAAACTGGGCGCGAACGTCCTCCAAATCTGTTCCGAAAGCGAAACATGTTGGAAGAGAAAATGGCCAAACAACCTGGGACATCCCCACAAAATCCCGCGAAAGGGGCCGAGTGAAATACCCCCCCGCCGCTCCCCCTAGAGTGCTGAAGCCAGCGAATCGCCTGAGACATCGTCCAAATCTGCTCCGAAAGCGAAGCATGTTGGAGGAGAAAATGGCCAAACCGCCTGAGACATCCCCACAAAATCCCGCGAAAGGGGCCGAGTGAAATACCCCCCCAGCCGCTCCCCTTAGGAGTGCTGAAGCCAGCGAATCGCCTGAGACATCCTCCAAATCTGCTCCGAAAGCGAAACATGGAAGAGAAAATGGCCAAACCGCTTGAGACATCCCCACAAAATCCCGCGAAAAGGGCCGAGTGAAATACCACCCCGCCGCTCCCCTTAGGAGTGCTCTAACCAGCGAATCGCCTGAGACATCCTCCAAATCTGCTCCGAAAACGAAACATATTGGAAGAGAAAATGGCCAAACCGCCTGAGACATCCCCACAAAATCGTGCGAAAGGGGCCGAGGGAAATACCACCCCGCCGCTCCCCTTAGGAGTGCTGAAGCCACAGAATCGCCTGACACATCCTCAACATCAGTGTGTGTGAGTCATCCGGTGAGTGGACCTGAGTGAGTGTAGTTAGTGAATGTATGAGGACAAGTACGAGTGAGTCTGAATGATGAATGAGTCTGAGTGATGAGTGAGTCTGAGTGATGAGTGAGTCTGAGTGATGAGTGATGAGTCTGAGTCATGACTGAGTCCGAGTGATGACTGAGTCTGAGTGATGAGTGAGTCTGAGTGATGAGTGGGTCTGAATGATGGGTGTCTGAGTGACGAGTGAGTGGGTCTGAGTGAGAGGAGTGGTGTGTTCTCTCTCCTCCGGCGCGGTCCGCCAATAACAAGAACCCCATACTTAGGATATGGGGAACAAGTCCGCGAAAGGGGCCGAGGGAAATACCCCCCCGCCGCCCCCTTTAAGTGCTGAAACCAGCGAATCGCCTGAGACATCCTCGCAAACTGCTCCGAAAGCGAAACATGTTGGAAGAGAAAATGGCCAAACCGCCTGAGACATCCCCACACAAATCCGCGAAAGGGGCCGACGGAAATACCCCCCCGCCGCTCCTCTTTAGGAGTGCTGAAGCCACAGAATCGCCTGACACATCCTAAACATCAGTGTGTGTGTGTGAATCATCCGATGAGTGGACCTGAGTAGGTGTAGTGAATGTATGAACACAAGTACGAGTGCGTCCGAGTGGAGTGCGTCCGAGTGATGAGTGAGTCTGAGTGATGAGTGAGTCTGAGTGATGAGTGGGTCTGACTGATGAGTGATAAGTCCTGAATCATGACTGAGTCCGAGTGATGAGTGGGTCTGAGTGATGAGTGAGTCTGAGTGATGAGTGGGTCTGAGTGATGAGTGAGTCTGAGTGACTGACTGAGTCTGAGTGATGAGGGAGTCTGAATGATGACTGAGTCTGAGTGGGTCTGAGTGAGAGGAGGTGAGGTGGTGTTCTGTTCTCTCTCTGTTCCTCCGGCGCGGTCCGCCAATAACAAGAACCCCATCTCTTTGGATCCCCATATGTGCATATCATTCTCTTGGAACGTCATCGAGTCGGATAGAAAACTCGAAGGAGGAGGAGGAGGAGGAAGGAGGAGGAGGACGAGGAGGAGGACGACGAGGAGAACGAGGAGGACGACGAGGAGAACGAGGAGGAGGACGGGGAGGAGAACGAGGAGGACGACAAGGAGAACGAGGACGACGACGACGACGACGAGGACGAGGAGGGAGAGGGCGGCCGGAGGCAGCTTCTGTGCCCCCCGGGGCCATTCGGAGCCGCTGCGTGCAGCTCGGCCGACCGGCGCGGCGACGCCATCAAACCGCCAGGCCGCTGGACTTCGTCGTCGTCGTCGTTGTCGTCGTCGTCGTCGTCGTCCGTCGTCCGTCGTCCGTCGTCCGTCGTCCGTCGTCCGTCGTCCGTCGTCCGTCGTCCGTCGTCCGTCGTCGTCGTCGTCGTCGTCGTCGTCGTCGTCGTCGTCGTCGTCGTCCGTCGTCCGTCGTCCGTCGTCCGTCGTCCGTCGTCCGTCGTCCGTCGTCCGTCGTCCGTCGTCGTCGTCGTCGTCGAGGTCGTCGTCGTCGTCCGTCGTCCGTCGATGTTGTCGTCGTCGTCGAGGAGTGAGACGAAGAGGAACGAGAGGAGAAAGAGGAAGAGCAGGACGTTAGGGCATGTACCCAGACCGCTTTCGCCAGTGCGCAGCGTACAGCGAAGGGTTACAAGCGAAACGAATTCAACTGTTTATAATCTGCGTTTAAACAGTCGATCCTCTCAGTGAGGCCGTCCTTTGCGGATCCGACTGAATATACAGGTTTAATTAGCCATGCAAACAACTGCTCAATGTTTATCCCAGCTGATCCTCTCAGTGAGGCCGGACTTTGCGCCTCCAGCTGGTTTAAACGCAAAAGTTGAACAGATGTTTAGCTGCACGCTGCCAAGCTGCTGGGAGGATGTGGAGAGGAGAGAAAAGAGGTTACCTCGCATGCGACATCACTTACAGTTTAGCGCCTGGCCCGCGAGCGCGAACATCTTGTCTACCTGTTTAGCGGCGGTCGCGGGCGCGTGAGCGCACTTGCAAGGCTTTCGCAGATCCGCCGACCCCTCGTGGGTCTCTGGGCGCGTGAGATTCCCCTCCAAAAATTCTTTCTCCCCCACCCCCCAGGAGCCCCAAGACTGGGAATTTGACCCCCCCCCAGGCCTGGGGGGATTAAGGGTCCCCCGACGACCCAAGAGGGCCCCAAGACGCACCCAAGACGGTTCAAGAAGGCCCCGAGTCTCTGAAAGATCGCTCCAAGACGCCCAAAATAGCCCCAAGACGGCTGAAGAGCCCTCCAAGAGCACTTCCAAGAGGCCAAATCATAAATGTTCTGAAAAAATCTGTGGAGGATTTTGGTATTCTCGCCTTTTCGGCCTTCCGCCGCTCCATGACGTCCCTAGAAGCCTCCAAGACCACTCCAAGACGGCCCAAGAAGCCTCCAAGAAGGCCCCAAGACGGCCCCACAGGGCGCCCAAGACGGCCCAAGAGGCGCCCAAGACGGCCCACGAGGGCCCCCAGACAGCCTCAAGAGGGGCCCAAGAAGGGGAACGCGAACCGAAAATCCGAGCCTCCGGCCCCAAGAAGCCCCGAGGAGGCCCCCAAGAGGCCCCCCAAGAGGCCTCAAGAGGCTCCCCAGATGCCTAAACGAGGCCCCAAAACGATCCCCAGAGGCCGCAAAACTGCCTCTAGGAGGCTCCCGAGAGGCTTCCCACGAGACCCCAACGAACATCCAAGAGGCCTATGACCCACAACCCAGGCACGGCGGCGGGATGGGCCGAAGGCCATTACGTAGATATAGGGGTCGGCGGATGTGGCGCAAGCCTGTAGAATCATAACTGTCACTGTAACGGCGCGGGCTGGAAAGCTGCAGTCCTACAGAAAAGCACTCGGACAGAGGAGGCACAATGGCCAACCCAGAGGCAAAACGCGCATAGAGTATGTGAGCCACTGGCAGAGTAGCAGCTCATGGCAGCAGCCTCGCAGTGCACCGTGCACCGCTAAGGTTGCACTTAGAAGGAAGGACGGGGCTGAGAGAAGACATGGAACAGGAGGAACCCAGAAGCCTCCATGTAGGCTCGACTGCCCGAGGCGCGAGCCTGGCACTGCAGCCGCTCCCGATGGAGCACAGGCCCAAGAAGATACGAATGCAAAGCTAGGTAACTATGGCTGCGGTGGCAGCCTGGTGCTCGATAGAGCAGCAGCTAAATTCATAGTGCTCCGGAAGCCTCGGAAAAATGGGACGCTGCACAAAGCGAAATCACTTGTCACTGCAGGCGCAACAAAGATCCGAGCACAGAGCAAGCTTCTCAAACGTAGAGGCGAAAACTAAATGACCATGCTGCGAAGGAGTGATGCTGCAGCATTTGCAGCCACCGTGCAGAGGAAGGGGGATGTTAGAACTTGGAGGGGTACAGGAGAGAGGAGGAAGGAGCATACGAAGCAACAGGAGGCAGCAGTGGGGGGCCAGAAGACGAGAAGAGGCCGGCCGACGCTGGGGAGCAGCTGGCGCTCCAGGCCAGATCGCGTGTGCCGCCGAACCCCCCTCTGTCAGCGCGCCGCCGGCCTTTCGGGGGCACAAGTGTGGACCCCGAAAGTGACCCCCCAAGGATCCTTTGGGGTAGGGCGGTCTCTCGGGGGCTTTGTGAAGCTCACTCGGGGCCCCTCGTGGGCCTGACTTGTTTCGTGCTGCCTCTCTTGGGAGCCTCTTGGGGGCGTCGCGGAGGCCTCTTGGAAGCCTCTCAGGCCTCTTGGGGGCCTCTTGGGGCTTCTTGGGGTTTCCTGGGGGCCTCGCGGGGCCCGGGTGGCCAGGGCTCGAAGTGTCAGCTCGGGCCCCTCGGCTGGACACCCTCTGGGGCTGTCTTGGAGGCGTTTTGGGCCGCCTTGGGGCCCTCGGGGCCTCTTGGGGCTCTCTTGGGAGCCTGCTGGGCAGTCTGGGGGCTTTCTTGGAGGCGTCTCGGGCCGCCCTGGAGCGTTGGGAAGCCAAGCAAGCGAGAAAACCATACATGCATATGTGTATACATATATGTGTGAATAATACGCACACAAACACACACACACACACACACACACACACACACACACACACACACACACACACACACACACACACACACACACACACACACACACACACTCTTGAAGGCATGGGGACCCAGGCAGACCAATCTTGGGGCTGCAGCAAGCTGGGGGTGTCGTCACGTCGTGTCCGATTTCATTCAGTTGTTCGTGTGCGACGAACTGTTTTCTTCCGTAGCCAATCTGGCACAGGACTGGTTCTTTTTGCCTCCAAGCGAGGCGACGACCTGGAGCTCGCACGCTCATCCCAGGTCGGCGCGGTGCCTTTGTCGCCGGAGGTTTGATGGACTTGCAGTGGAGTTGAGTGGAGAAACAAGTTTCTCTTGATGTCAGCTGGCGCTGAATCCGTCGCCCGTAAGACATACCAATCCATGACATCGAGCTGGCTCCCACGAGCGACGGCGTGTCGTGATTCAACCATTCATTCTTCTTCGGGCGTGGAGTGGCCCCGTCCCTCAAAAGCAGGCGTGTGGGCCGAACACAACGTACAGCGAGTGATTTCAGATATTGTTCAACCGTCAGTACCAGGTCTTCTACGTGTCCGTGCGTGGGCAGTGGATTGTCTTCAAGCGGGTGATCTACCGTCTTTGGGTCTAGCCGTGCATCATGTTCTTCGGCATCAATTTCCCGCCCACCTTCAACAAGGCATCACATGTCCGAAAGTGGCCACAATGGTATACCAGTTGTTGGTGTGCAGTGGTGTTGCAAGGCTACGCGGTGCTGTTCAAAAGAGGCGTCTTCCAAGGTGGTCAGGTCGCGTTTTCAGAAGTCTTCCTGCCGCTGCACACCGGGGGATTTTGGGTCTTGACCAGCAGTGGGTACACGAGATGTTGGATTTGGGGGGGGGGCTCAGGCGGAACCAAGTCTGCCGTGTATGTGCTGTGGTCCACGACGTCGTCGTACATTGGCAAAGCTAACGTCACGCGGCAGTGCCCGACGCCAGGCCTTCCAGCTCGACTGCGTGAACATCTTCGTGCACTTCTACGACCGCTGTCTCGTGAAGGGCGGCTTCCTCGGTATTCAGGCTTACGCAAATCTCTCGGCAGCTTGGCATTTCTTCCAGTGGCATTGTGCGAAGATGAAGCTCGGGCTTTCTCATTGGAATCAGTTCTTATTCGTTTCGTTGAACCAAAAGGCAATCGCGCGGATCAAGTTCTCACAGATAACTTTCGTGGCACTAAGGTGGGCCTCGCATCCAAAGGACGGCGACGTCGCCCTCCACCAAGGATTCGGGGCCCACGCGGTATCACATCTATATGGGCTCAACCGCCGTTTCAGCAAGCAGTTCAAGCAGGTGAATCTCGTATTGTGGCTAAGGCAGCAGATATCATTCCAGGTACGGATCTTGTTGGTCCGTATGCAGCGTTGTATTCTCAGATTCAACAAGTGGAGCGTGTTCGTACAGGCAGTGTTGGGCCTCTGAATTTAGTTGACAGGAAGTATGTAAACCTTTTCTTGGCGTTCTGTGCGTCGCATCGGCCGTGCGTTCGGTTTCCCACCAACATGCCGAAGTACCAGGTCGCGGAGTTCCTGTACCTAGCAGGCAAGCAGGTTCCCAAGTTCGTCCGAGGGGGTGCCAGGCAAACGGCCGCACGCATTTTCTTGGAGCGGTTATTGCGCAGCGTCAAGTTACCACCATTTCAAGTTGCAACCCTTGTCATTCCCTACGCGATGCAGGAGAAGGTTGCGGCGGTCAAAAACTTGTGCCGTCAAGCAGTTCGTCGCGTCCGTTGCCAACCTGCTCGCGATCATATCCTGTCCAAGCTTCGTGTTATGGTTGACAAGCGTGAGCGTTGGGTTGACACTATCAATTCTAAAAAGGCTGTTGGAACTTTCTCAGCGAGTATGCAGCAATTACCTGGATCTTCTACTGGTCGGCTAGCTACATCACCGAGCTTACGTGCTGTTGTGGGGCCGTGGCGTCTTCCAAAGTGGCCGCGGGGAACGGTCACGTGGCGTCAATGTCGGGCAGCATGGTCTCGCTGGGCGTCTTCCATGCGTCTGCCTTCACACGTTCGTGGTTATGGCATGGGGTGTTGGCAGCAAGCAGGAGGTCAGCACCAACGCCCAGCACCACCACCACCGGTTTGGGATCAGCATGAGCGGCTCTTTCGGCAGCACCAACTAGGTGATCACGCACGTGTAGGGGATGATCGAGACGCTTCCAAGGTGTGGGTTATCAAGCATCAAGAGGTTGGTTTATCTTTATTTCAGGCGATTGTTCAAGACCCGCAGTGGGCGGTACGACGTGATTTAACAGTGGTCAATGTTGCTCAGTGGGGATATGCCAAGGCCTTTCTTGGTCTTCCAGGCTTTCTTCGCCGACAAGCTGCACGTCCAGGACGGTCTCTGGGACCGCTCCGTCTCTTCCCGCTCATCAAGAGCAAGTGTCATGCAGATGACGGCCGTCTCACATGTACCAAAGCAGGACATCGTCATTGGAGGCGCATTCTAGATATGAGCGGCACGCCTTTCGCCACGGGGTGGAAGGTTGCTGCCCGAGGAGTACGATCTGCGGTGGAAGTCACGGACGAGTCACGCGAGCTTTTTGATATTAGCTGCACACGCCAGCACATGCAAAATACCTTTTCGGGCTTGAGGATAGGCTCGTGCCCCACGGTGTGCCAAACATGCAAAAAGAGCATGCGTCCAGGATTGCACATTGCCGCGACAGATGTGGACCAGGCCTTTGAGGCGTGTGCGGCTGATTCCATTTTGCCAGGATGGGACCTCCTTGAGCAAGCCTATCTGACCAAGTTCGGGACCTCGAGGCTCCTAGTTCGACGAGGGAAACGTTTTTTTGCTGAACATGGGGACCGAGCTAAGCGATATGGTCGGGGATGGTGGTCTCTATCCTTAGCTCAACTACGTAGAGCTCTTGCGGCTGCTTCTAGGCTTACCTTAGCTGTGCTTGGGGACACAGTCGTGGAAATGGCAGGCATGGCGATTGGAGGTGTTATGTCGTCTGCTGCGGTGTCGGTTCGCTTGGGGGCTGAAGAGCTCATCGATAGGCATGCTCACGATCGACATCGGAACCAAGGCTTCCTTTTTCCAAGGGGTCCGCGGGTAGATATCAACTGGAGTCGATATGTGGATGATATTCTGTCGGGGAGTGTTACCCACTGTTGTGATTGTGCCCAGAAGTATTTGGAACAAGTTTTCGCGGAACCGCTTAGTGTTGTGTTTAAATCTGATGATGAACCGAACGGCCTGTTCGAATGGTTGGATCTATCACTTAGGGTTCAAGGGTATAGCTTGACTTTCACGCATAAGAACCCGAATCGCGGGTGGCTGCACGCAGGTTTGGGGGACTTTCCTGCCCGAGTTGAACGGCCGAAGTCTCATGTTCTTCCCTGGCCAGGTGCTCTACCGATGTCGTTTGGAACCTTGAGGGGCATCCTTATGGGGAAGTTGGCCAGATATCGGAGTCTGGGGTTGTCGTGTTTGGCATCGAGTTTGGGGCTCTTGGAACTTCTCCTGGAGTTACACTTGCTGGGGTATCCGCCGTGGACTTTGAGGGCCTTATCTCACTCTCTACCCAATTCCGCGGCTGTACGCTCGGCTCGAGAATCTCTGCGCAGTTGGCTTCGACACCGTCAGTATCAAGACCGTCTTCGCGGGGAGATGGGCGCTGGCGGCAAGGACAAGCAGGGGCCCCACCAGGCGTGGGAGCCGTGGTGGGGCCCGCGCGGGCCATCTTCGCAGTCCCAGCCTCGTGGTCCACCTGATGTGCGAGATGGCGATCGTGACAGCCCGCGCCTACACCATCACGACTCTTCCAGTTCGTCGGTTGATGGTCGTCGCCAGGCTCGCTTGGACAGGGCGCAGCAGTACCTTGCCAAGCATAATGATGAGTACCGCCAGTTTCTAGAGAAGAAGGCCGCCAATGAGAAGGAGGCAGCTTTGCGACGTCAGGGTGAGATCCTTGCGAAGGCGATGGAGGCTAAGTTCAACCAGTCGTTGCTCCCGCAGGTCGTGCAGCCATTCCAGGCCGGAGGTTTTCCGCCAGCGCCGCGGGCCCCGCCTGCGGTGGCGGAGACTGCCCACGTGTCGGGAGGCACGGGGGAGTCGCCCACCAGTCCTGGTGGGCCAGAGACCACGTCGTCGTCAAGCACGCCGCAGTCGTACCTCTCCTCGCTGCAGATGAAGCTGGTGGAAGCGGAGTTCAGTCACACGTTTGAGTTGCCCAGTGGCTCGGAGTCGGATTTCCACCAAGCCCTTTCACGGGCATACGCGCAGAAGGAGGTTGCCAGCAAGGTCGAGCAGATTCTCAAGCGTTACGGTGTCACCAAGTTGCCGAAGACCAAGGACGCGAAAATCTCTGTTCTGTTCAAGACTTTCAAGGCAGCCTGAAGTCACCGACGTGGAAATGCTACGGTTTTTGGATCGTGGTGTCCGATATCATCGGTTTCACTTTTCCC